GGTGGTGAGGGAGAGGGGTTGAGGTGAGAGATGTGCCGCCCTGGGATCTGGGTAAGGTTGGGGTGTGCTGAAGGAACAGTGCCGGGGGGGCTGGGCAGAAGCTCATGATGGCCTAAACAAGACCTGCACGGACACAGATCAGCTTTTATTTTAACTATTATTTTGGTGTTTGGGTTTTTTTATTATTTTTTTGCATTTATGCTGTAGATTTATAATTACCTTAGATTCAGTTTGCTGACAGAAATAGATAATTCTGCCTGTTTCACTCTACGTGGCGGGTTAGATCAGGGAACAGAACACAACCTTGTGAGAAGGTCAGTGTCATCTGAGAACAGCTCTGGCCTGGTTCACCCTGCGGCCACACAAACCACTGTGCTGTGACAGGAGCCAGAGCAGGTGTGAGCAAGCAGAGAGTGGGGCTGCAGCTTTCACCTGCCTTAACTGTGCATCCCCATCGTGAGTTCATATTCAGCACTGAAAGCATCTGGAGGCTGCAGCAGCTGCAGTCTGTTGTGCTGGGTGCTTGCACAGACCAAAGGTCGTGTGGTGGAAGACACAGCAGGCAACTGCATGCACACAGATGAGAGGAAGAGTGCAAGGTTTTGGTGACAATAAAGCTCTTTGCACAATCTATCTGGGACTGTGGCAAAGGCAGGCAGTGGAAAACTTTTAATCCTTATATGTTGCATATAGAGGAAACAAGATAAAATGATAACTGTTTCTTCTTTTTTTTTTATTTATTTTTCCTCTTCATCATGCTGCAAACAAACAGTGGCCAAGAGCAAATCTAAGTAAGTGCTTTCCTCGTCAGTTTTTGATTTCTGCTACCACCCGGTATCTTCAAGTGACTTTACAAAATATTACGTATTTCCAGTGTTTTGTAATGTACCTGAGAGAACTGCAGTTCCTAAGTCTAGCTGCATCCTATCTGCCCTTCTGTATGTGTGTCTTTTCACAGGTAAGTGCAGAATGGTGTGAACCCTTCCTCAGGTTCTAAAACTGCAGCAAAAGCAGGTTTTGTCCTGTGCGCTGTCGCATTTTGCAGAGCTGTAATATCCAAAGCACCCTGCACAGGGGAAGCATTTGCTCTGTACTTTGTGATTAAAGGGAGGCTCTAAATTATCCACGTGACCTTCCTCTTGTTGACCTTACGTATGTTTTAGTTGAGGAGGGCAAGCTGAGGTACAGCGTGGGTCTTTGGGCAGGTGCCCTGAACCTTTCCCACAGGCAGAGTGCAGAACACTTCCCAGTTATAGCATGTTTGTGTGTCTGTGTGTGAGGGGACGGGGTGCAGGCAGTGCTCTGGGCATCTTCATTTGCTCTGTACTCCAGCTCAGGATGTCTTGGTGTTCTACTGTTACCTGTTATTTGTGGAAACAAACACAGTAAAGCAGGATGCTTCTGTGAGGTGGAAAAACAGCTTTTAAAAATGGTGTTTCTCATGGTAATGTACTGATTTCCACCACCCCCTTTTCTGTTTTGTTTTCTTTTTCCCCTGATATTTCTTTCTCTGTTCTTTGTATAATCCCATCTATACTTCAGGAATATGTTATCTTCTTATATTGCCTATAAGTTCAAGTTTTTTGAACAAGGTGTGTGTTGTTCAGAAAAGGCTTGGCTTCAAATATGTGGTGCAGTAGAGTTTCAAGGCCTGGTCGGACTGATACCACTGATTCCCCCCAAAAGGGGAAACCACACAGAGGCTTTGAGGAAGTGGGTGAGCTACAGGGAAAGGAGTCTGTGTGGTTACTGTTGCTACACATCACATCTGCAGTACTGTACAGGAGAGGATAGTAACTGGGCATAATCCCTACACTGTCCTTGGTCAGTTGGTCTGCAGGAATCCAGCGTTCTTCTGTTTATTTTGATCTCTAGAGTAAATTAGATTGCAGAGCTAAAAAGAGAGAGCTCAAGGAAATGCACTGGTCAGAGCTGCACAAGTGGGGAAGAATGGATTTCTCTTCAGGGTTAATTTTGACAGATTATTTTGTATTAGAAGCAGGAAAAAACAGGGGTATGAATTGAATGCTTACGTGCAGAGATATATCCACCTCTTTACTGCAGTAGAAGAGAAGGACACAATTTACAGGCTGGTTAAAAGGTTTGACCTTTCTTTTGAAACTCCAGGAGCTGCCCTGTGTCTGGGAAGTTGTGCGGATCTTGGCATACTTCCAGGCTGGAAGTGTGGTGTCTTCTGGCTTGCCCTGCTCCCAGGGACACTACCAGTCAGACCGAGAGCCCTCCAGTGGGGAAGGGGCTTCCTGGCACTGGGTTAATGTCAAGGCCCATATTTCTAGCAGGATGGGCCATGACGAGGGGTCCTGCTTCTCCTTTTGCATGCCACTTGTTCCATCCTATCTGCTCGGGTTCCCCTCTGCCTGTGGAAGTGATAGTCTGTGATGCAGCATTATCTATAGCCCGAACATCCTCAACTAGCATCATCCGTCCTGTCTTGCCATTCTCTTTTAAGCCATAGTGACTCAATTGTATGCTGATTCATTTTTCTTTTCCTTTTTTTCTCCTTCTTTGACTTTCCATTTTTCCCTTTTTCTTTTCCTTCTTTTCTCTTCTCTTTTCTTTCCCTTTGCCCTTTCACTGTTTTGTGGAGGAGCTACTTCTTTCTGGGCTTGTATTCCATTCAGGAATTATTTAAACTTGATGCTGGAGCTTATGGGTTATAGTGGGCTCTTTGTGCTATAAGTTTAGCATATAATATTGACGGTCACATCTAGAACATCCGTGAAGTTGAAATGAAGTATCTTATGTGGTTGTGCTGAGTTGTTTATGATGAAAGCTTGTCCATGCGCTGGCAGAGGTGGCTGTGTGTCTGTGCACTGATACAAACACATTCCTTGTGACTTTAGATACATCCTGGTGAGGATGAAAAGTGCAGCTGAGACAGGCTACTGTTTCAACATCAGGAGACTGCGGCTGCAAGAAAAACTGGTCCTGTTCAAGTACGATCCCATTGGTAAGAGCCTGCTTTGTATAAGCTTCTCTGACTGTGTGGGGCAAAAGGTTTGAATGTAACAGGATTTTTCCCATCTAAGCAGAATATGTCATAAAATGTTTCATACGGGGATGACTGTATGGTTGCAGTTTTTATGACATTCCAGTGGGAAGTAAACATTACCCTCATATTACAGATCGTGGCAGTGAAACAAAGTAATGACTTGCCTGACACATCAGAGCTTTGATGACAACCATGCCACATGTCAGTGGCAAGGCAAAGTAACACAGGAGTTCTTTCATTCTGTTTCTTTGTGTGGTTTGATAGACTGTGCTACCTCCAACAAGCAGCCATGAAGTATGCATCAGTAGAAATGTTCTTTTATGCTCCCATGGGTGCTCTAGACAATAAATTTTAACCATCACTTACAAAATAGACTTTCTCTCTTGAAGAAATAAACAAGTTCTTCCTTCTCCACAAATGATACTGCTGTCCAGATGGCAGTTTGTGGGTTCTTTTATGTTCCTCTGGACCTTGTAGATTTTCTCAGTTTAAGAATCCTATTTGTTGAAGAGTTATAGCACTTGCCAAGCTGCCCACCCAGCTTTCTGAAAGATGGCTAAGAGCTCAAGTTTCTGAAGGAGAAACGAGCCCATAGTTACTATTAAAAAGCTGAATTTAATGCTGAAAAGCTTAATTTGGGGAAACTTAGAACTTAAACCAGAGCATTCTAGAAATAGCATGGCGGACTTAATGCAAGAAAGGCTTATTTAAATCTCAAGAATAAAGAAATGTATTAAGCAGCTCCGAGTAGATGACATAGTGCATGGCCAATAGTTATGTAGTTCGAGCTTATTTTTTTATGAAGTTCTTTTTATCTGACTGACCTTTTCATACTCAGCTCTAACAGTACAGGAGGGTCATGGCAGGTGAGAGGAACCACCACAGAAGCAGTGTGCTCTCACTGGAGCACTCATGCTGACAGAGGTTGTGGCTCCCTTCTGAATTCCATACAGAAGGGGAATTGGAGATCACTGGGATTATTCTGTTCATTAAGAAAAGTTTAAATTACTGCATTGAGACATTGCACGAAGTGATCTTCCAGAAGCTTCTCAAGCTATAGGGAACATGAAGAGTAGGAGAGCCTGGGCTAAGTAGTGCTTCTGTTGCGGAACACGTAGTAGGTTGTTGAAGTATGAAATTGGAAGTAATTAAGAAAAAAAGCTCTGATCTTTGTAGCCTGTAGTAAAACACAAGTGAGAAGTTGATGTGAGAAAGTGCTGCGTGTGTGAAGGGAAGTAAATCTGAGTCTAGATACCAACTCACATCAGGAATATGTTAGGAAGCATTTTCACTTGGCATGCATTTTCACCTTATGTTTTCTACTTCTCAAAAACCTGGGACCTCTGCAGAATGAAGATTTTTAGTGAAGTTGTGGCAGTGGTGCCCAAGTTTCACTACCTCCTAAGTGCAGCAACAGAATGTGTTACTAAGTTGCGCTATTTCTTAAAATGAAACTTTTATGTGGAAGAAGAGGTTTTGTTATTGTGTGGATTGCTCTGGTGTAGCTTTCAAAGGAATTCCTATAACGAAGTTCAATCGGAACAGTGGTGCTGTTCATATGGCGTTGTAAAGCTTTGCTTCGTGTATTTTTTAGGCTTTTTTAAAGTAATGCATTGACTGTGCTGAACCTGCAGCTGAACTGACTTTGCCAACGTGTGCATCAGGCATTGGAGGCAGGGTCAGTTTGTGCCTTGCTGAGAGATCCATAGGACACTTACTTAACGTTTCAGTCAGTCTGTAGGACTGACTAGATCCAGCTCATCATCTGTAGTTGTTTGGGCTTTGAAGTTGAAGAATAGTAGAAAGCAGTAAGAACCTATTTTTGTCCCTACACTGAGCAGCTGTGACTCAGAATAGTCACACAGAGCAGCTGTTGAATGTTTTCAGGCACTCAAATCTTGATGCTTATTTCCACAGAGGTAAAATGGACCTCTTAGGAACTAAAAATTACGTGTGGTAAAGTGAAAGCACTACTGAAGCCCTTCAAGAGCTGGTTAGCAGCAGTGCTGCACCAGTCAGTTGCTCCACACTCATTTTAGCAGCGAAGGCAGCCATGAGAGAGGGACGTAGGCTTGCTGGATTGCATTTTAACACTTCAGGCTTCTTAACAGATTCTTTTTTTCCCCTCTAGCAAAACAACGTGTCCTTTTCACAGAGAAGAGAAAAATCCGCTCTATCTGAACAATGACCGGAGTTGATTTATGCGAGAAGAGAGATGGTCTGGGGGCAGGACGGGTGAACGCTGACTCAGAAATCCAGCAACATGGGCTGAAAAGAGAGGAAATGAACTGGGATCACCGTCTCCTGTGATTTGAAGGCCATTGTGAATAAAACAATGTAGAGAGAGAAAATTCTTAATGTCTGGACATAGATCATCAGAGTAACATTTATTTATCTTTTGAGTTATTTTTACAGTACTCAATTAAAAAAAAAATTAAATAGCAAATCCCATTGTGTTTTCCATTGTGAAAGAGGCTGTAATCTTCAAAGGAGCTATTGTTCTATATGGCAATAAAAATTAACATTTTCCACAGCAGGA